AAAAAAAAAAGAAAAAAAATCTTCTGCATTGGTCTGGGAAGGTGGCTCAGTGGTAGAGTGCTTGCCTCACATGCATGAGGCCCTGGGATTGACTCCTCAGCACCACATAAGCAGAAAATGCTTTGGCTCAAGTGGTAGAGCACTAGCCTTGAGCTGAAGAGCTGAGGGACAGCACCCAGGCCCAGAGTTCAGGCCCACAACTGACTTAATAAATAAAATCATCTGCCCTTATAAAATGGTACAAAAACAACAACAACAAAGCCAGGTGACAGGAAGTCTATGAAGAATTTAAATACGTGTGTGTGTGTGTGTGTGTGTGTGTGTGAGAACAGGAGCCTGAACTCAGAGCCTGACCATCTTGCTTTGCTTTTTTTGCTCAAGATTGGTGCTCTACCATTGGAGCCACACCTCCATTCCTGATGTAAATTTAGAAAGGTAAAACCTCCTGTAAATCTACAAGACCCGAACCCAACAACACCCAGGGGCCCAAAGGGCACCTGTTAATCCCTGTAACCCTTTTCCTGGTTTTGGATAAATGATCCCAACATCACCAAACTGAAAAATGCATATACATGTATATATTTAAATTTTAAATTAAATTAAAATTTAATTTAAATTACTGGGCAGAGGGCATGATGGCAAAGAAGGGGAGTTGTTTGTTTTTTTCTCAAAATGTTTTCAGTGAACTGTAATATTTGAAAGCAAGTACATGCTTTCAAAGTTCTCAGAGGGCTGGACATAACAACAATAACAACAAATGTAGTGTAAGTGTGAGAGACAGCCACCACCCACCCACACTGCTCATCTCCAACTTTCCAGAGCAGGCCTTATCTCGGTTGAACAAAAATAATCGGCAAGAAAGCCCGTTACAAGAGTCTAAGAAGTTTATTTTTAACCGCTTCTTTCTAGGCCTGCACAACAATTTCAGCCCTTATATGGGTGTGTTCTCCCGTGGTGAGAATTCAGGACAAGCTGGCAGTAGAGAACCCCAGGAAAGATTTGGGGACCAGTGTGCACTTGAGTAGCCTACACAAATACAAGCTCTACCCCTCCAACTTGGGTCTTACTACTTGCTTGCAGCCACTGCTCCCCAATGTGCCCACTCCCCTTAGATTTCACCCAGTTGCCCAAGCGAAAACCCCTTTTTGTTGTTGTTGTTGTCTGTCTTGGGGCTTGAAGTCTGTCCCTGATCTCTTCAGCTCAAGGCGAGTGCTCTACCACTTGAGCCACAGCACCACTTCTGGTTTTCTGGTGGTTAATTGGAGTAAGAGTCTCACGGACTTTCCTGCCCGGGCTGGCTTTGAACCGCGATCCTCAGATCTCAGCCTCCTGAGTAGCTAGGATGAAAGGCGTGAACCACCAGCGCCCGGTCCAACGAGACACCTTCAAGCGCGGCGTGCTGCCTCTTTCCCCGCCTCTGTAGTCAGCACTGAACCTAGGGGTCTCCGTCTCCGCACACTTTTCCGTCTCTTTCCCTGCTCACGGGCAGCCGGGTCTTTACTCTGGCGTCGGTTCCTAGCTCCGGGCGCGCCGGAGTCACCCCGAGCTCGGCGCCCCTCACCTTCCTGGGGCCAAGCTCATCCCAGCTCCCCGCACGTCCTCCCTGGGCTCCTCTGCCCGTTCCCCCCTCCCCTCCCCCGGAGCGGCTGGATCCCGCGTGGAGCGCACAGGGCCCCCTCCCCATCGGGATGGACGTGGCGGCGGGCCGCGCTCGCCGGGCACGCGGCAGGTG